CTTTATCACTAGAAACGGGCTGTAGAAAATAGCACATACAGGCTGGCAAACAGAGGTCTAAGACAAACTGGATAAAAGACAAAACCACAACTGTTAAAAGATTTAAGGAAAACCTTCACAATGAAAGACATCAAAAATCCTAAAGGAGGAAGAATTAGAACACAAGGAAAGAGTAAATAATGCAAACAGAAGAACTTTAAAGGGAGACGTGAGATGCCAGTTCAGCCATGAAAAAAAAAATACACTAAAACTCTGGTCATTTAAAATAAAAATTAACGGGGCACCTGGGCGGCCCGGTCAGTTGAGCGTCTGCTTTCGGCTCAGGTCATGATCTCAGGGTCCTGGGATCAAGCCCCGCATCGGGCTCCCAGCTTGGCAGGGGGTCTGCTTCTCCCTTTCCCTCTCTGCCCCTCCACCTGCTTGTGCTCACTCTCTGTCAAACAAATAAATAAAATCTTTAAAAACCATAGAATAGAATAAAATAAAAATAAACCAAAAGACACATCAGTAGCAGAACCAACACAGATGAAAAGCAAATTAACTAGCCAAAAGTTCTAGCTGAGGCATTTTCCAAGAATACAATGCAAAGAGCAAGAAAAAGGGAAGTATGAAAGAAGAATATAGAGTCAAAAGGGCAGAACTAAAAGTCTCAAGTTCTACCTAACAAGAGTTCCAGGACAGAGAACAGGCAGTATGGAGAGAAGGAAATAATCAAATAAAAAGCCCAGGCCCAAGAAAATAAGACCTGAATACTAGAAGTGACCTCCAAGTACGGAACGAGGTGATTTAAAAAAGATTACACGTAGCCACATCATGGAAATTTTCATGTTAGAAGAAATAAAGAGAAAAATCATAAAAGTTTTCAGAGAAAAATAAGCTATCTACAAGTAACAAAGAATCAGAGCAGTATAGTATTTTTCATCAGAAAGGAGGAATAATGGTCAATATCTTCAAAGGTTTGAGGACATATGGTTTGGAACCTAAAATCCCATATTCAAACAAATTGTTATTATTTAAGGGTGAAGAAAAAGTGAGCACATTTTTGGATCTGCAAGAACCTATCAAATGTATCATCTGCATAATTGAAAGAATTACTTGCATGTATAATCCAGCAACGTGATTAACAAATCCAATGAGAAAGAATAAGTGGGTTACAGGAAGCAGTAGTGTATAAAGAAGCCAGTATGATTTATATTTATGCCTAAATAATTTTTAATGGCTAGTGCAAAAAATTTATTTTAATGACACTTTGTCACCAAAATTCCAGATATTATCAATTTTGGAAGCAATGGAAGTGACGATGGCATTAAAAGGGGAGCCTGGCTGGTTCAGTTAGTGGAGTATATACTACTCTTGATCTCAGGGTTGTAAGTTTAAGCCCCACATTGGGCGTAGAGATTACTTAAAAATAAAATCTTAAAAAAATTTTTTAAAAAGTGGGGAAGATTGAAAATATGTGTGTGCGTGCATGCACGCACATGCGTGGACGTGTTTTGGCGGGTAATATATTTCTAAAAGACTAAAATATATAAGATTAACATAATATATAAATTGGCAAATATAATCAAATTTGCATGTTAAAAATTGGAGAGTAACAGAAGTACTGGAAAATGGGCTACAACTTACAAACCACTAGAAAAAAAATTGTGGTGTGCAAAGAAAACTCAGTCAATCAAATTGGAGGAAAGTAAGAAAAGAAAAAAAGCCTAGTCAGTGGAAAACATAAAATAAGGCAAGAATATACTCAGGCATATTGGTAATCACAAGCAATGCGAACACACTACATTTTCCCACCGAAAGACTCTTCACCATCCTTACAAAAGACACATCCACAACAAGTTTAAAAATAAACAATTGGAGTTCCAGCTCCAGTAATATAACGGGATAAGTTAGTTGGACCCCTTTGACCACTAAGTGAAACTAAAAATACCGACTGACACACGAACATATCGAAAGCATTGATGAGTGAGATAGTAAAGTATTACATGGCCAATTGGTGAGGAAATATGAGAGAGATACGTGGGGGCCAGAAGCGCCCTCTTGTGTTAAAGGAGCTTGCCAAACAGGGAAGCATCAGTTTTCATGGACCCGGTGAGCACAAGGGAGACGACTCAATGCCCAGGGCCCAACCCAAGACAGTTTCATAGGAGATCCTTCTCCATAAAGTTCAACTCCCAAAACACTTTTAGAATAAGGGCAAGTCCACTCCCTACCCAAGAGATGACAAGGTTTTTCCCTGGCGTTGAGCAGAGCAGGACATAGGGAGGGATTGCCTCTCAGAAGTTAGAACTACAAGCTGACCCTAGACGAAAAGGTAGCCTAAAATCACTTCACTTGGATAGTCTGAAAAATAAACCTTCAGTGAATCAATTTAAACAGATAACGCCCCCTACATACCTTGCAGAAGTAAATGCAAATTGTCTCTGGAGAAACGTGTTCATCCCAGACCTCAAAGACTCCCTTCAAATAAGTTTTCAAAGAAAACCAGAAGCTCACAGTCAAAAACAAGTACATAAGGAAAAAAAAAAAGCCAGTGTTGGTACGAATCAGAAAAAATAACGGACAGAGGAAACAGATCTGCAGAGTTGTTTGTTTTGTGAAATAATCATTTAGATTAGGAAATATCTACAGTTACTGTGTCTAAACAAATAGAAGACAAGATGGACGATATCTTCGGGAAATAGTCAATTACCAAAAAAAAAAAAAAAGCTGGATGTAGCAGATTTCAAAAAAAAAAACTTGTAAAAAGAAAAAAATATAGTCATTACAATTGGCAACTCAGTGTGTGACTTTAAAAAAAGATTAGATAAAGCCAAAAAAAAAAAAAAAGACAATGGATGAAGGGGAAGATAGCTGGAGAAATTAAGCAGGATGTGGCACAGAGATTGCGAATATGAGATGTTCAGAGATGTATAAGCTACAGTAAAAATGTCTAACAAAAAGAAGAGGAAAGAGAAAATGGAAGGAAATCAATATTCAAAAAGATAATGGCTGAGAACTCTCTAAAAATTAAGAAAGACACGAATCTACAGATCATTAGTCCCAACAAATCCAAAGGCAGACAAATAAAGAAATCCACGTAAAGACACATTATGGTAAAACTAAAGAAACCAAAGACAAAGATAAATCCTAAAGCAGCCAGAGAGACCTTTTAAAAGGAGCAACTTTTAAACCGACGGCTTCTCGTAGGCAGGAGCTGGGCCAGAGGCCAGTGGACTCAGGGAGAAATGCTGCATAGAATTTCATACCCGGTGAGATACCTCTCAGGAAGGTGGGTGAAATAAAGGCATTTCAAACACAAAGCAATAATAATAATAATAATAATAATAATAATAATAATTGAAAGACCTCACTCAAGGAAATTCTGAAGGATTTACTTCAGACAGAGTAAAAGAAAAAGAAAGTAAGTGGGAGAAGGAATGAAAAGCAAAGAAAGTGGTAAAACACACATTGATTTTTTTGTGAAACAACAACAATAATGCCCTGTAGGCTTAAATACATTTCACGGGCGCAAAAGAAAGGACACCGAAAGATACCCTAGAACATGGGGCCGGACAAAAATAAGATAAAAGCACAAGGTAAGATATCTAAACCCAGCTTTATTAGTTACTGCATTAAATGTAATGGACTAAATTCTTCAATTAAAAGATAAAAAGGAAAAAATTCAGTTACATTATGCTTACAAAGGACACATCAAGAGTATGAGAATACTGAAAGGTTTTTAAATTCTAAGAATGTAAAATGACGGAAAAGACATCATTCAGACACTAACCAAGAAAACTATATTAAAGTAATAATATTACTATTCAATAATAAAGAGTTTAAAGCAAAATCATTTGTAGGTATAGTCATTTTAAAATGATAGAATGTGGGGGCACCTGAGTGGCTCAGTTGGTTAAGCAGCTGCCTTTGGCTCAGGTCATGATCTCAGGGTCCTGGGATCGAGTCCCACGTCAGGCTTCCTGCTCAGCGGGGAGCCTGCTTCTCCCCCTCTCTCTGACTGTCCCCCTCCTTGCGTTCTCCCTCTCTCTCAAATAAATAAAATCTTTAAAAAAAATAAAAGTGATAGAATGTTTCAATTCCATAGAAAATCTAACAATTTAAAATTTACATGTTCTTAATAACATAGCCTCAAAATATATAAAGCAAAAATTGTCAGAGAGAAACAATCAACAATCATAATGGAAAAATTTAACACATCTTTAAAAGGAATCAGTACTGAAAATTTACACAGTAAATCAGTTTGAAATGTGTATATAAAACATTGCATCCAACAAACTACAGAATACATTCTTTTCAAGCATTCACAGAACATTTTTAAAAATTGACCATATAGCAGAACATAAAGGTTGTCTTGACAAATATATAAAGAGAGAAATCATTTAGAGTATGTTCTCTGATCTTAATTCAAATAATCAAAAATAACGGCATAGGTGTATGTTATATACAATAATAGCACAATTTAGAATGGAACAAATAATAAAATTAGTAATAACCAAACGTAGAAAATCCCCATACATTTGGAAGTCGTGGTGGTCACCGTCAAGGCACATGAGTAGGAGATGGGAGGTAAAAAGGATACTTTCTTGGTTTGCTCTATGTCTCCAGGGATTGTTTGAATCTTACTTAAAGAGAAGATACTCGTGTAGTACTTAATGCGCTAGAAAAAGCTATTTGCTGTTGCAGCAAATTTTACTCCTAGTCTTTCCCCATCCATGCTTAATACATTCTTAATCCAGGAGGAGGATCTTTTTAAGAAGACAACTGTTATTTTTAACCAAAACAGGTTTAAGTTGGAAGTAGATTTGGGTAAGCTCTAAGAATGCCACCTGTAGTTGTGCACAGAGTATCTCAGGCTGTTCAGGACCCGCACAGCCACTCTGGGGAAGGGAACAGAAGAACCAAGAAGGGGCTGTACTGCTTTAAGTGAAGCCGGTGCTGCAGCCCTCAGGTGGAGTCATTTCCTGCCCTGTGATAAAGTCTGCCTGGGCGTGCGGCTCGTCATTACTGCAGCCCGGCGGGGTTACCTCCAGATCAGCATGGTAAGTGGCGAGGGTCCTCATACGTGCTTATCAGTGTTGCCACGGTGTTGTAGCAAATCTTACTCATCATACTTGGCCCTCTTCCCCGCCAGACCATCCTTAATACATTCGTAATACAAGAGAAGAAATTTTTAAGGAGGCACTTGCTTCTTCCAGTAACTGTGTTTGTTTTTAAAGATTTTATTTATTTATTAATGAGAGACAAAGAAAGAGAGAGAGAGAGAGAGAGAGGCAGAGGGAGAAGCAGGCTCACGCCGAGCGGGGAGCCCGATGCGGGACTCGATCCCAGGACCCTGGGATTATGACCTGAGCTGAAGGCAGACGCTTAACCATCTGAGCCACCCAGGCGCCCTCCCAGTAACTGTGTTTGAGGCAGATTTGGATAAGCGCTCGTCTGTTCATCTGTGGTTTTGCTGCTTTTAAGAAAAGCTTAGTGGATGTGCATGTTAAATACTGCTTTTAACTGAAGTATTGAAACGAGAACCCCTCCTTCCTTTAGTTCTACATTTGTTTTAAACCTGCTGTGCCGATTTTTCTGTAGAAATCAATTGCTTCACTTTTAGTTATGCTTTTAGAATTTCTGGGGACTTCAGACCCAGGTCATCATTGCTAAGCTCATAAATGCATGGCAGGGTAAAGTGCACGGACATCTCCTCGTCCTCTCTCGAGTTTCATTCTTGGGGGACAACAATGAACATAGTTACTTACAGTAATGCCTGTTGGGGGATCATCTCTTAAGATCCACTTTCCCTTTAATGTCTTATGTGCTAGTCCCAGTAGTTTTTGGTATCTTAGAATTTTAAATTCTCAATGGAAGCAGCCTTTCATTCTGATTTCTCATCTTTGATGTTCTCACCCCCTTGGACTCTCTCTCCAACATTTTGAGGATGTTGAAGTCGTTTTGCTCTTAAACATTATGCCTTCCTGCATGAGGGATCCCTGCGGTCACGGAAATGTTCGGTAGCTTGGCTAAATTTCGGTATTCTGGGGGTGATATTGTTCTGTTTCATCTTGCAAGATACTTACGCTGGGGAAAATGGGTACGGGGCACATGAGATCTTTATTTTCTTACAACTGCCTATCCATCTATTACTTATCTTTATCTCAAAATAAAACGTTAATTAGAAAATTGTGCCTTCCTAGTAATTCAGATAAGCGTTGTAGCCGCTAACGTGCTGTGATTGATAATATTGATATTGAATGGGCAGTTTACAATCTTAGAGTGTGACTACTGTGTAACAGACAGTTTGGAAAGGAGGGAATGGCTAAGAGAAGAAGGTAAAGATAGCCTTCTGTGTCCTGGGACACAGTTACATCATAAACTCAGTTGCTTCTCAAACCAGGAAGGGTATCATTGATCCTTCTTGGGCCAGGTATTACCCTGCCAAGTTCACAAGGGTAGTATCATGCCCATGTCTGAATGTCTGTGCCCCTTGGGTAACAGACTGCGTGAAGAGCCGCAATTGCTTTTCCACATTGGTGATTATTTTTCCTGTGAGTACTTGGAGCAAATGCATGTGCACCCCCCGTGGCCTGGGCAGTAAGTTGGGGGGTGCTGTGAGAGAAATCGACATGTAAGTGGGTCCAATGATGGGGAAACCATGAGGTGCACCTCCCGTCCAGCATTTTTACCTAAATCTAGGGAGTTTGGATCTGAGTACAGTAGCTAACGCACTGACATCATCTGCAGTCCAGCAGATGTGGGAGGAATGAAGCCAAGCTTTGCAGACAAGCCTGTTAGAAGCTTGTTTAGGATGGTGCATGCTGTTTGATTTTTTTATGTGCCGGACAGAGGTTGGTATCTGGGTTGGTGCTGAGTGAGGTGCTTTCTGAATTGAGCTCGCAGCCTTTGTCATGAGAGACCCAGAAATGCACAGAGAAGAAACAAGGGGCAAGTTCTACTCAAGTAGTGAGGTTGAATTCCTCATAAAGCAGAGAGGGCTGTGTTAAGCCTTGTGAATCAAGGAGACAAAGTACAAGGGCTTGATGCTGCAGAGCTGGAACAGAGTCCAAGTCGGATTGCAGGGCTGTGACCGGCCAGAGCTCCCTCCCTCCCTGGACTAGTGGTCTGTCTTTTCGTGGTTGAGTCTCAGACCTTGTCCAGGGGAAGAACAGCCTGGACAAGGGCAGGGCTGCCAATCAGCTCAGTAGGCGAACAGCTGGTGGGGCTCCGATGATGTGGAGAACAGGCTGCTCACCCCACCAGCCCCCCGCCCAGACCCGTCCCATGCTCGCTGGCAACCAAAACCCAACAACATTCAGATGCACGATTGCCGCCCTTACGGTTTTTTAGGATCTAACTTTTTCTTTGCTTCTCTTAGATGAGTACATATTCATGTCTGTTTAAAAGACCAAAATGGTTGTTGGGCTTTAAAAAGAAAGATGTGAATGGTGATTTAAACGTGGGATGGGAGAGTGGAGGCTGATGAGGGTAATGGAAAACAGTCGAGTTTAAACAAGGAAAAAAATCACTGCCCAGGTATAATGACAGTTAATATTTGATGCATTTTATTTTAAAGATTTTATTTATTTATTTGACAGAGAGAGACAGAGAGAGAGACAGCGAGAGGGAACACAAGCAGGGGGAGTGGGAGAGGGAGAAGCAGGCTTCCCGCCGAGCAGGGAGCCCGATGCGGGGCTTGATCCCAGGACCCTGGATCATGACCTGAGCCGAAAGCAGACGCTCAACGACTGAGCCACCCAGGCGCCCCCATATTTGATGCATTTATAGATCTTTTTCTCTGCTTATTTTTTAATGTATTTGATATCCTACTTTATATACAATTATACGACTTGCATAACTTTTACTTCATTTTTATCATAAGCTTTTCCCATGTCATAAAATTTTGGGGGTAAACTTTTAAGGGTTGCATAACTCTTTCTTCAAATGCCCAAGAAGAGTGAATGTAGATTTGTTCTTGATTCTCACTCTTATAAATAATAATACTGTGAATGCCCTTGTGCCTAAATCTTTGCATTTTTAGATTTTTTTAAATAATTCACCTGTGTATGTCATCTGCCTATTTATATACTAGTTATCTCAAGTTTTTGGTTGGGTTTTTAAAGATTTTATTTTTAAATAATTTCTTCACCCAACGTGGGGCTTGAACTTACAACCTTGAGATCAAGTATCACATGCTCTGCCGACTGAGCCAGACTGGCGCCCCTCAAGTTTTTTTTTTTTTTAATTAATGTATATAAAATTGCCTTATTGATAGCCCTTACTATGAAGGACTGTATATAAATCATTTTTTGTATACATCATTATTCTTCTTTGTTTATTACAATATTGAGTTTTTACATTTTTGGGTTGTGAGATCTATTACATGTTCCCTTGGTAAATTTTCCATTACTTTTATGCTTAGAACATCCTTCTTTCTTTAGAGCACACATGAATAGTAAATATGAAATCTCAAGATATGAAAAGGTAACATCTTTAATTGCAGTGGGTTTTAATATATGTCAAGGTTATACATTGATTTTTGGTTTTATTCCTTTCCAGTAACTCGCTAATATTTTTCTGGGTGAGGCAGCTTGATTTTATACATATATAGTATATTATGTATATATATTCTTAACTCACACTTAACCCGTTACACAAAAAGTATCCTTAAATTATGTTGTTGAAAGAAATCTGTCAGTAAAATGGGAGTCCTTTGCATACCTGTGCCCTGGTTTTTGGTTTCCATGAGACACTTTCAATTAGCCTTATCATACATTTCTCTTCATGGCATATGTGAGCTTGGTTTCTATCGACTGTGAGCCGCATTGCTGAGTGACCAAGCTCCTGTTATCTACAGAGGCTATTAGTTCTAACTTCCTCCGGCTTATTTCAGAGGGAGTGCCTTTCCATCCACATTGGCCAAGCTGGTATCCAGATTGGGGATGCTTGCTGGGAACTCTATTGCCTGGAACATGGAATCCAGCCAGATGGCGTTGTTCTCAACAGTAGAAAGGATCAACTGGAAAGTGAGAACATGGAGCATATGGATGCATCTTTCAATACCTTCTTTTGTGAGACGAGAGCTGGGAAGCACGTGCCCAGAGCCCTCTTCATGGATCTGGATCCTGCTGTTATAGGTAATGTAAGGCATGCATTCAACCAGGTCCACACTCAAAGCAAACAAATCCAGTACCAGTGGATGGGATCCTCAGATTATATGGATCTGTTTGAACAGGATCATGGGGACATTTTTTAAATCTAGAAGTTCACTTGTGACCACTTAAGGTGATCGGCCTGAAACATACCCAAAGGGAGTACTTGCTTAGCCTTCTTTTTCTGTGTGATGAAACAAATTCAAACCTTGTTAACTTGTCCACACACATCTGTTGTCACAGAAGATTAAATATTTTCTTGGATTTGAAAGCCAGTTACTAGAAGGTTCCAACAAAGAATCTGAAATTTGGCATTACCTGAACATGATTCCAAAGAGGCAAGGAACCAGACAAATCTAACTGGGGAAATCAGTACAATTTTATGATTATTAATGGCAGACTTTGTAGTATCTTGTCCAGGAACATGGCATGGCAGCTCGGTTCCAAGAGCAAGCATCACATGAGCACAAGGCAGAATTCCATGGCGTTTTTCTAATCTAGCCTCAGAAGTCCTAGTGTTTCACTGCTGTTGTTTGATGGCTTGAGACCATTGCAGAGATCCACCCAGGGAGAGAATAGAGACCTCCTCTTGATGTAGAAAGAGCGAGGTTCTAGAAGCATGTGAGAAATGGAAAACGTTCTTGTGGCCATCTTTGGAAAAAGCAGTCTGTACACACTGGATTGGAGTTCATTTCCTTATCGGAACCAGGTCAGGTCAAGTAACTGACGGCGAAAGTAGATCGACGTCCATGGGAAGGAAACGATGGAAAGTGTTAGTGACGGGGGGAGGGGGCGATAAGAACTGTCTAGGCCAGGACTCCTATATGCAGTTTCTGTGTTTGCTGGGTGTGAAAGGATTAAAAATAAGGAAATATTGCTGGCTTCAAGAGCAGGTGAGATTCGTACGGAGGCTGAGAGGCAGTTATGTTGTCTTCTGGCTTGAGTTCTAAGTTGCCTGAAGAGAATATCTCAATTTTTGTTTCAGACAAATGGGGGTTTGCAGTTGTGAGCTTTAGCTGGAATCTGGTATCCCAGAAACCTGGGCAGAGTGGAATATGTCCCCAGAGGATTTTGGTAAATGTCGCTGAATAAGCAGCCTGACAGGCCACGCCTCAGTATTATGAATATCGTAGCAGATATTTTAACTTGCACCAGTCCGAAGATGCTAGGCAAATAGGAGGCTTAGGACCTGGAATCGGAAGCTAATAAGCAAGTCGGGGCAGAGATACATGGCAGGAAGAGACCGGAAGAACTTCCCCAATCCTCTAGAATAGAGCGTAGAGAGAGGGCAGTTTTGAGGATCTGGAGCTGGGCCAAACAAAAAGGCATAAGCTCCAGGTTTTAGGAGAAGGCACTGATTTTTCTTGTTCTTCTCAGCACGTTAGAGAGCCTCATACGTGCAAGGCACTATTCTTGACATTGGAGGTGTATATACTCTGAGTCTTCATGGAGCCTACATGCAGACCTATAAAAACCAAATCGTGTGCCTCATGTTGTGATCAGTGGCATGGAGAAGAATAAAGCAGGGCCACAGGGATGGGGAAGGTCATGTGAGTGGTGGGAGGTGCTTTTTCTTAAGGAATGCCGAGGAAGGCCTTATAGAGAAGGTGACACGTAGGGATCTGAAGGAAGTGAGGGCATGAGCCTTACTTACCTCTCTGGAAGAGATCAGAAAAGACTTTATGGACAAAGTGATATTCTGTCTGAGTCCTGAAGACTGGATAAGAGGATTTTAACAGGTCACAGATGAGAGGAGCTGGAAAGCACAAGCAAAGACATGTTCAGACACCTGGGAATATTGTTGCAGCTTGAAAAGGGGGAGGAAGTTGATATATCAGAGTCACAGAAGACATAAACTGGAGTGGAGGCTGGCTCTGGAATTTCCTTGAATAATTTGTGTGGTGTGAACCTGATAGGAAATAGGGGGCGGGTAAAGACTTCAGAGCAGGGAAAAGACAGATTGAGAACTATACTTCAGTAACATTAATCACAGAGATTTATTCATTAATTTATTCAACATTTCTTTAGCACCTGCTAAAGTGCCAGGTACTAATCTAGAAAGAGTGGATTGGAGAAAGTTACAAGGTTTTGTGGTGTATGGACTGAGTATGGAAAAGAGAACATAGATTTGAGAGACGCTCATCTAAAACAGAGCAGATTACGTGTCAATGAATGTTCTAGAGAGAATTCAGAGGTGCCACTCAGATTTCACTGTTTCAATAATGGGATTGATAAATGACGTAGGAATTCCAGAGGGGGACCTAGTTTGCGGGAGTAGATTTGTTCCATTTGGGCATGAGGAATTTGAAGTGTCCACAGGTTGGTCCTGGTAGAAGCTGGGGAACCAGAGGTGTTCAGTGAGAAGTTATCCTACAGAGATGGTATTAAAAGGCTGTGAAAGTAGGTGATCTTGTTCAAAGCCAGCCCGAATGGTTTTAGGAGGAAGGAAAGGTGACTTTTAGTTGTGATTGTGGAGTAGAATTCTACTGAAGATATTTGTAGGCAGAACAAAGGAGAGAGGGAGGGGAGGGAGGGAGGAGGGTTCAGAGTGAGTGAGGGGACCCGAAGCATGGAGAGGGTGGCTTGTACATCTCCTTCTCTAGGCACAGACTGAGGATTTTGTGGTAAGGAGGAAGGTGTTCATTGAGAGTTCTGTGATTAGAATAATGGGGTGATGCTGTGTGAGAACTCACAGAAAGGAGAAGAGGTTTAATGCACATTTGGAGAAGAGGACAGAGGGTCAAGGGAAGTGTGAAGCGTGTGCTGAGTGCGGGCCCAAAGGGGTGGAGAGCACAGCTGGGGTGGATGGTGCCCATGATGCACGAGGCAGGGTGGGCAGGGACGTGGGGCTGGCGGCAAGTGCATGGCTGTGATCACAGGGCCAGGCCTGTGTGAGCAGACCGGTGAAGCTAACGTGACGGGAGGAGGGGTGGGAGATGAAAACGCTGGGAGCTCCAGGTCGGGGTGGGAAAGAATTTAACTTCATTCAGCGAATTCAATGAGCATTTATTCCAGCTAGGTAATGGAGAGGAGCATAGGGATGAACAAATGCCCGAACCTTCCATCCCTTCTCTCCTACTGTCCTAGTGAGCTCAGGCCATTTTAACAAAATATCGTCGACTGGGGGCTTAAACCACGGAAATTTACTTCTCACTGTTGTGGAGGCGGGAAGTCCAAGACTACGGTGGCAGCGTGGTTGGTGTCTGATGAGTGCTCTCTTCCCGATTTGCAGACGGCTGCCTTCTCACCATGTCCTCACATGTGGTCTCTTGCAAGGGCACTAACCCCTTTCACGAGGGCCCCACCCTCATGGCCCAGTCACCTCCCAAAGGCCCCACGTCCTAACATCACCACACTGCGGGGAGGGCTTCAAAGTATGAATCCTGGGGAGACACGAATGTTCAGTCCACAGCAGCTACTGTTTATTAGTGAGGAACCACACAGATATTTTCCTATAATCCTTTCAATAATTGTGTCAGGAAACCTTATTGTTATCCTCCATTAACAGATGAAGAAGCTGGGTCTTGGGCAGGTCATGGAACTGGCCTTAGATCGCTGCGCTGTCGAAGGTAGAACTGGGTTTGACCCCAGGTTTGCCAACTAATAAAAAGCCATTCTCTTTTAACAAAAAAGTAGCATAAGCTAGTGGAGAAGAAAATGTAAATGGTCATAGCAACACTAACACATGTGTTCAGTTGAGCCATATAAAATTGCCCATGGTTGATTATTTTTTACCTAAAAAATGTCAGTGTCCTCCGATGCAACCTAATAACAATCGAAATGTCTGTGAGGTGCAGAGGTATCCCCGAGGAAGGGATGAGTAGCTGGGGAGCCATCAAGCGTCTTTGACCCAGGGAGCAGCGTTGCCAGCTTCCCAGAGGCATGGAGGAACGCGCACCTTGAACAGGAACAGGGTGTGAGTAGGAGAGCGATGGGGACAGGAAGCTGGAAAGATTGTCGAGCTGGGTCATGGGCGAGAAGGGGGAAATAAGGAAGTTTGGGCGGAGAAAGGATTTTGCATCTTTAAGATTTTGGCGGTGGGACTGTTGTGAGCTATTTCCAGTGGACTGGGGCTAATAGCATTGGAAGTAAGGAAGCAAGGAACTGTCAAATAATCATGTTTAAACACCCTTGAACTCCCTGAGGATGCTGGTTAAGGATGCTGGGCCAGATGCCCACATCTCTGAGCCAAGTGGAAAAAGTGCCAGGAAGTGAGAGTGGACAGCTTGGGTGTGCTCATAAATGGCAATGCTATAATCACTGATCTCCAAAAAGTGGTTTTTACCAAAAGAATTTATGGATGACCCTCAGGATCTCCCCTGGACATTACCACGACGAAGCAGGCTTCCAAAATTCCAGAAATTCCCTTCTTAGCTTGAACTCAGCCTTATAGCTGCAGGTGAGAAGCAGAGTCCACCCAGAGTTATATGCCCACTTACATTGTGTTTATAAATATACCTTTTAAAACTTTTCACTTTTGTGGGTTTTTTGGTTTGTCTTTTTGTTTACTTTTTTGGTGTGTGTGTGTGTTACTTAAGAGTCCTTTAAATCAATTCTAGTAAATTTAAATGTTTGGGGGTGTACAAATTTGTGGTTAGAAATTCATGGTCATGGACAGGAGAGCAAGGTGAATTGAGATTGCCGTCTTGTCTCTTTTTTAGAAATTGAGTGTTTCCTCTTAGGCAGCGAGCTTCTGGGACTATCTGTAGGTATCTGGTGATGAGGCCGATGCAGTATTAGTGTAGGTACATGTCATGAAGGCAATTGTATCATTATTATTTATAATCGTTGCCATATGGGCTATGCATTGTGCCCTATGATCTCATGTAATCCTCCTAGTAGGTCGGGGGGGGGGTAGGTCTTTTTATCGTCCTTATATGTGAGGTGAGGTCACTGATATTTAGGGATGCCAAGGAACTGCTGGATAGCCGAGTGACGAAGGAAACCGTGAACCTGGGAAATGGATTCTCGGACACATGTTCTTGAATACTGTGCAGCACAGTGTCCCACTGTAACCTGGGCAACATTCCCAGAGCCTGCTTAGCCCTCAAACACCGATGCCTGATTCTGTAGGAGTTGTGCTATCTGGGTAATTCTAGGCTTGGGAGCAGGACGTGGGCCCGAGACACCTGTGTTTGGGTATTTTCTCATGCTGAGCAGGTTTTTAAAAGGAGGAAATCCAGGCAGGAGTTGCCCTTGGCTGGGTTGAAGACTGCCAGCATCTTAACCCCAATTTCCCTGCTTCTTGCGTTTGTATCAGTTGCATTCGAGTTGGGTGGGCATTCAAGCTCTTCACACCTTCTTTGTTAAAGCCTCTTTTTTAAAGCAGACTAGTAATAATTTAGATCGGTCCGCTTTTCCCTGCTTTTCTGGCACTCAGTTGGCTATTTGTAGGTAGAAATACTTGCCTTAGAATACCAGAGTGTCACAGGGTGTGTGATGGCTTTAAAGAGTGTCTCTTAAAAATCGGTGTCCACCTAGAACCTCAGAATATGCTTTTATTTGGGAAGAAGGTCTTTGCCAATGGACTAAGTTGAGATCCTACGGGATTGGGGTCAGCCCTAACTCCAAGGGTCTGTGTCCTTATGAGAGGAAGAGGGGACCCAGTGAGGGGGGGGGCGGGCATGCGTGATGGTGGCAGGCATGAGTGGTGCAGCCCCAAGCCGAGGAACAGCTTCTTCCTGAGACCTCGGGCAGGAACCAACCCTGCCAACACCTTGACTTTGGACTTCCGGCCTTCTGAACGGTGAGAGCAAACATTTCTCTTGTTTCCAGCCACCAAGTGTGTTATAATTTGTTACAGCAGCCGTAAGAAACTAACAAAGGGTCTACGATGGGAAAACGTACTTTCAGTTTGTCTGGAAATAATGATACTGTTCCTAGACTAAGGAAGGCTGGCTCAGCAGCTGAAAGCCCTTTCTTTACCGCAACACTGGGGAAACTGGCATTGGGTTGGCAGTTGAATTGGCAAAGGGCTAGCAGTCGGAGTGGCGTGCCCTGACCTCATGTCGTCTCTGCAGATGGGATTCGAGCTGGCCAGCACCGCTCTCTCTTCCACCCAGAGCAGCTTGTCAGCGGGAAGGAAGACGCCGCGAACAACTACGCCCGCGGTCGCTACTCTGTGGGGTCCGAGATCATCGACCTTGTGCTAGAGAGGATCCGAAAGCTGGCAAGTGGCCCCTTTCTCCTTAGTCGGGGGCCGTACCTGAGTGCCCGGGATCTGCCTTCCAGACAGTACCACGCTTCCTACCCACCGGGTCACTGCCACCGGCCTCTCCCGCGGAAGCTCACAGCTGGGAAGCGCCTTGCTGTTGACTTTGATGACACTTTCTTTTATAGGAAGGGTGAAGAAACCTTGACACTTACTGCAGCCCTGTCTACTCTATTTGAGATTTATGAGGAAGTATTTTGGTTTTTTCCACTGCTCTATTGAGATACAGCATCGTGTCAATTTAAGGTGTACCACATGATGATTTGATACACACAAATTGCGCAGTGATTGCCACAGGACAGTTGCCGTGTGTGTGTGTGTGGGGGGGGTGACAACGTTTAAAATTCACTCTCTTAGCAACTTTCAAGCGTACAGCCCAGTATTGTTAACCAAAGTCACCATGCTGTCCATTAGCTCCCCAGAACTGACTCATCTTCTAACTGGAAGTCTGTGTCCTCCAACCAACGTCTCCCCGTTACCCCACCAGATACTGTGCTACTTTCCATTTCTCTCTCTTTTTTTTAATTGACATATAATGTATTATTTGTTTCAGGGGTACAGGTCTGTGATTCATCAGTCTTACACAATTCACAGCACTCACCATAGCACGTACCCTCCCCAGTGTCCATCACCAGCCACCCCATCCCTCCCACCCCCTCCACTCCAGCAACCCTCAGTTTGTTTCCTGAGATTAAGAGTCTCTTATGGTTTATCTCCCACTCCAGCTTCATCTTGTTTCATCTGAGGAATCTCAAATTCCTCATATCAGTGAGATCGTATGATACTTGTCTTTCTCTGATTGACTTATTTTGCTTTGCATAATTTCCATTTCTATGAGTTTGACATTTTTCTACTCCACATATATGAATGGGATGATATGGGATTTGTCTTTCTGTGTCTGACCTATCTCACTTGGCATGATGCCCTTAAGGTCCATCCATGCTGTGACAGATGGCAGGATGTCCTTCTTTTTAATGGCTAACCCCCCTCTACTCTTGCTTCTGCCCACTCATCATGGCTCGCCTTGTTATCATAGATTTCCAAAACATCCTAACACTTGCTTGTCCTTTTCCAGTAGTATCCATTATTCGTGAGGTTAACAGGAGGCACGTTCTACCAGGAGATTAGTTACTCTAGTTACTGTCAGTGAACTCTTCTTTAAGGACCTGCGTCTGGGGAATCTTTTGTCTAGTACATATTTTGGTGTCTGGCATAATCCTTAAGCAATACAGTGTCTTTTACACCGGCCAGTAGATTGGACGTAGACATGATAGGTACTTCATCTCCTGGGGTGGGGGGAGAGTAGGTTGCTTCAATCTTTGGCCATTTTGTTTGTTACTAAGAAAGACCTTGCCTTAGGTCACACGCAGATAAATTCGTGGAGGGCAGCTAAAGACAGTTGAATATTTATGCTTTGCTTATAGTGAAACTCTAAAGCGCTTCCCCTACCCCAGAGGTAACCACTCGCGTGTGTTACTGGGGCGTTCAGAAGGGTACACCCGGCTTCCTGAAAGTTTTGTTTGTTTGGGGAACTTCTTGTCTTCCCACTACCACTGCTTCTGGGTTCATGTAGCCCAGGTCTCACCTTCCCTTTGCTTCCCCAGGCAGAGCAGTGCAGTGGACTTCAGGGATTTTTGATTTTCCGAAGCTTTGGAGGAGGCACCGGATCAGGATTTACATCTCTCTTAATGGAGCGGCTCTCGATAGACTATAGCAGGAAGACGAAATTGGAGTTCTCTGTCTATCCAGCCCCCGGGATCTCCACTGCTGTGGTGGAGCCTTACAACTCCATCCTTACCACGCACTCCACCCTGGAGCACTCGGACTGCACCTTCATGGTGGACAACGAGGCCATTTATGACATCTGCCACCATAAACTCGGTGTCGAGCGCCCCTCTTACGCCAGCATTAATAGGCTGATAGGTCAGGCGGTATCTTGCATTACTGCTTCCCTCCGGTTTGAAGGGCCCTTGAATGTGGACCTCATTGAATTCCAGACCAACCTAGTACCTTACCCAAGAATACATTTCCCCATGACAACATTTGCCCCCATCATCTCTGCTGACCACGCCTACCGTGAGGAGCCCTCTGTGTCCGACATCACTGCCGCCTGCTTTGACTTCTCCAATCAGCTGGTCAAGTGCGACCCTCGGCTGGGGAAGTACATGGCCTGCTGCCTACTCTACAGAGGGGACGTGGTCCCCAAAGATGTGAATGCAGCCATCGCAGCCATGAAGTCAAGGAACTCTGTGCAGTTTGTGGATTGGTGTCCGACGGGTTTCAAGGTGGGCATCAACAACCAGCCACCCACAGTGATGCCAGGAGGGGACCTGGCCAAGGTCCAGCGGGCCGTGTGCATGCTGAGCAACACCACGGCCGTCGTGGAGGCGTGGGCCCGCCTGGACCACAAGTTCGACCTCATGTACGCCAAGAGGGCGTTTCTGCACTGGTACCTCAGGGAAGGCATGGAGGAAGGCGAGTTCTCAGAGGCCAGGGAAGACTTGGCCGCTCTGGAGAAGGATTATGAAGAAATGGGGCAAAGTTTCTGATGGAAACGTGGCTGGGGAGAATGAGTGTTGAGTCGAAGTGTCATGCTTTCTTTTCAAGACTTATGTACTCTTGATGGGTAGAGTTCCCTTGACTGGAAGAAACTGGAAACCAAATCAAGCAAGACCCTAAGCTCTGCACTAAATCGAATGGGTCAATACCAACAATGAACTCACAGGTCTTCGGTGGTTCAGCACGGCTACCTGTGAACCCCCCCCCGGTTTGGGATCCTTTGAGCGTCTGGATCACGTCCGTGTTTCTTTTCTTTTGTTTTCTTTTTTTTTTCTTAGAATGGAAACCTAGCTTTATTCTTTGCTTCTTCAACAAAAGATGATGAAACCCTAAAGTCAGTGCTTTTTGCTTTCCCTTTCCTGAAGTGTAAAACAGCACATGTTAATTATTAATGTTATTTCCCCCATGTCTGTATTTTGTACATTGACTAAATAATGAACATTTCAGTATCATTCTTTTCTTTCTTCCAAAGATAGGTTTTAAGGTCTTGGTTTGCTTTTCATACAAACAAATAGTGAGAATATTCTTGGGTCTTTCAAAAATTTGCATCTGTGTTCCTGTGGGTCAGGAGGTGACAGGGATCTCTCTCAGCAACCCGTCCTTGAAGAGATGTTCTCGAAGTGTGGCCAGCAGAGCCCTGCATCAGGACCAGTGGAGAGGTTTAGAAAAAAAAAAAGGCAGATTCTTGGGGCACCTGGCTGGCTCAGTGGGTGGAGTGTGTGACGCTTGATCTTGGGGTTGTAAGTTCAAGCCCCACGTTGGGTGTAGAGATTACTGAAAAATTAAAAAAAAATTTTTTTTTAAACATGCAAATTATCTGGAGATTGGAGGGGGCATGACCTAAGAATTTGAAGTTTAAAAAACACACTTGAAGGAATTCATTTCTGGTATTAAACTATCCCACTTTTAAACAAGTTATAACTTAAAATGGGCAAAAATAGTTATAAATGCATTACAACCATCAGCCACATTTTTATTATCCATGATGTTTAGTCTGACTAGTCATTGGAGTTAAGGTGAACTAGACACTACAAAGGTGCTCACTTGGGCTTAGGTATTGCTCTTGGGCTGATAGAGAGTTTCCAGGTACCTCATTCAGCTGTGGTGTTTACCTTGCAGCCTTAGTCCTGCATTTGTACCCTCTTGGCTTCAGCGTGGTCAGGGCTTTTGGTTCAGGTAAATATCTGAGGGTAACAGCCACTAAAGCCTTGGCTGAAGGCATAAGGTTGAGGGTCGTATTGAGAGATTTACCAAACTGCAGTGCAACCACCTTCTTATTGCGTGCAGCCAGACTGGCCACTTCACCTTTAATGGTTTCCTTGGTAGATGCTCTTATGTACTAATATCACTGCCCTGGGATGTGGCCTTCAAGAGCTCCATTCACGTGATGTACCATCTGTTTTCCACTCATACATTGTCACCATGGAAGCCAATGAGCACACTTTGGTAGAAATGATGTCTAGACATTTCAAGACATGCCTGTCAAGAGGTGGTTTTCCAGGCTACCCATCAGTGAGTTTTTGCTCGGTCCTCAAGTCTCAATGCTTCTGGCTGGATCCCCTTTGCACTCTATATCCAAGGTCCCCTGCCAAGGGCTCAATCTATGTTGACACTAAAACAACTTCATACCAGAGTTCCCTTTGGAACCTGAGGCCTGTTAATCCTGAGATGTGCCAAGACTTCTAGGGTAACAATAAGGAAAGGGATGATTCTCATTCCTATGTCTCTGACCTGCTGTGGTCAAATGTTTGGAGGAAAGTAAAAAAATAAATAAATAAATTTTTTTTTTTCTGCAAAGAAAGGAGTGATTGGTGCCCTCTGTCATTTTCCCTGAATACAACATAGACCAACAGTGCATTGTGTGGCCCTTTAAGAGTGAAAGAAAACCTTCAATGCTTGAAGGAGCCTATATCCAAATTTATGGGGTTCTCTTTTTCAACTAACCTATGTGTCTTATGTTTGCCTTTTAAAATCCTCTGTCTTACTCGGTAATAAATAAAGATATTTGATGACCTAAATATAATAGACATTTCACATACTTGTGAGTTTTAGGATTAGGTCTCCTAAGGAGTAGTCATCAAGCCTCTACATGCCATATATGATATTAGATTTATGAAGTATTTTTCTGTATTATTCATGTTTCCTCTCTCAATTTATTAAACATTCATTAAACTGTTTTTTTCTTTCAGTGGATACCATAGAAAGAACAACATTCAAACCTGACTTGTTAGCATCTACTGTGCATTAGTGTTTTCACTACTTCTGGACGATGAAAAAAGTCGTAGAACTCGTGTACTACCTTCTTGCCCTTTGTGAATTGTGACCTTATCTTTCAGTGCCATTTATTTTAAAACCTTACAAGGCATTGACTATTATTGCTGGTGTTTTAAACGGGGTGTTTTGCTTCCGCTTACCTTCCTGGTTACCCTCTGGTGCTCTCTTCATTCCTCCTTGGTTACCAGACTTCCATGTGGGATCATTTTCCTTCTGGCAAAATACCTCCCTTAGGTATTCTGTTGATGTGGATCTGGGGTTGACAGGGAATATTTGCCTTTTCTTCCTCAAAGAGTGAGGTCACCTGAGATAATGAAAATATGAACTTGAGGCAGGGAGTCTCTTGTTCATCTGTGTAGCTATGGCTCCAGGCACAGAGTAGGTCCTCATATGTTTATTAAATTGAAAAGCGCCAGGAGAGGACCTTATTTCTTACTTTACTGAAATCACATCCATCTGATTTTTAACTTCTTGTGTTCCTCTTCAGTCTTCCCCTTAAACTTATTTTGAATCTACACATGTTCTCTTCCATCCCAGAGGAATAGTGCTGTCCATTCTGAGGCCATTTATAATTTTTGCACCTTCTCCTCTTGACTCTGACCTAGAAGACGTCACTCCTTCGATCTCCTTTGTATATTCTCTCTTTCTCCATTGATTTTACTGCTGCTGCTGTCGTTCTTTTCCTTACTCGCACGTCCAGGTCTCCTCGTTCAAAAAATCAGCCCCTTTTCCTAAATTCTATGACCCCCATAACATACTCTCAGATCTTTCTACTCTGTCAAACTGCTCAAAGGAATATATGTCTGACGCCTGCACCTCGTCTGCTCACTTCGCGTTTGTAATGTGTCTTCCCCACCATTCTACAGAAGACTTTATCTTGAAGATCACTGATCATACCTCAAAACAAAGACTTTCTCAGCCTTCAGATTTCTTTACCCTAAGTGTTTGGTTATTCCTTTTTCTTGCAACTTTTCCTGTAGCTCCTGGGACCCTAGTTGGTTCTCCCACTACACCTGGTAGATATCTGAGGGTAACAGCCACTGAAGCCTTGGCTGAAGGCATAAGGTTGAGGGTCATATTGAGAGATTTACCAAACTGCAGTGCAACCACCTTCTTATTGCGTGGACCCAGATTGGCCACTCCACCTTTAATGGTTTCCTGGTAGATGCTCTTCAGTGCCCTGGGATGTGGCCATCAAGAGCTCCATGCGCATAATGTACCAAGATGCTCTTGGTGCCTTTCTCTGGCTCTCAGTTACCTTGTCCACAACCACGTTCACTCCACGTGAGTGACTGAAGACTTTAAGTTTTCCTTCTCTCTCGAGTTCTAACCAAAACTTCCACCTACCTGCTATCTTCTCAGACATATTGACTGCACTTAAATTTAACTTCTCCCAAGAAAACCTTACCATTTTCCTCAAAAGAAATCTGCTCTCGCCTGAGTGTTCTGTTTTGTCTGTTTATGTTACCTTCCCAGATTCTAAACAACACCATCATTTTTGACTGCCTTCTTGCTTTCTACAGAGCCTGAGTCCTAGCCATTCTACTTCTGTGATGATTCCAGGATCCATTCCCTTCCTTGTCTTCCCATCGAAGCCGTCCCGGCTCAGGCCTCCACACCCTCTCCCTGTAGCTAGAACTCTAGTGCCCGGAGGCTTTTCTGCCTTTCCCTTTGTCTTCCTGATGCATCCGGCACACCTGCGACAACATTCTGAAGCACAGCTTGGATGATTTTGCCCCCTTGCTCAAAGCTTTAGTGATTCCCATCTTCTTAAGTATGGAGTCTAAATCCCTGCTCATGGTGTGCTGAGCCTGTGCCCACTCGTTCCAACTTGAATTTCCCGTGCCATCCTTCACTGTGCTGTCCTGCATTCCATCCCAACCCGAGCGCTCACTACTCCTAGCACCTGTTCCTCTCTCTCCTCTGCCTTTGCTCCTTCTTGCTCCTTTCCTTCTGTGGCCCAGTGATAGAATACTGACTTCAAACCCAGTTCACGTTTCCCTTGAAGCTTCTTGGACATCCATTTACTCTCACCCCAGGGTTAGAGGCAGTTGGGATACACTATGAAATCTCTCACTACAGTGAAAGTATTGTAGTAAATACTCATTAATGAGTTATATATATATATTTTTTCATCTGCATATCCTACATAGAACTTTGAACTAGTATTAGACTTTTACTAGTTTTAAATGCATGTGTTGTTTCTCTCTTCAGACACCAGAGGGCACTAGTGAATGCTTAAATAACCCCTCAGTTCATGTAATTGTTTTGCTATTCTGAAGGACGTTTGTGTGTGCGAGCGTGCATGTGTGTAGGTCTACTCACACACTCAGAAAAGACCATTTAGAGGTTTTCTTTTGTTTTTTAAAAATTAATAATCTGCTAACATTAAGATTAAAAACCTAATTATTTTGGGGTGCCTGGGTGGCTCAGTCAGTTGAGCCTCTGACTCTTGATTTTCGGCTCAGGTCATGATCTCAGGGTCGTGAGATCGAGCCCCACATCGGGCTCTGTGCTGGGCATGGAGTCTGCTTGAGATTCCCTCCCCCTCTCTTAAACACAAAACAAAACCTAATTATTTCTTAAACTTTGAAGGTCAGCCTGAGAATCTGATGATTTCTAAGTTTAACAAATTTAAATAATCACTTTTAAAGCGAATACAGTGACTTTTTCATCTTTGCAGTCTTAGATAATTGCTTTTAAACATTTCAGATTGCATTTATAAATTTAATATATTCTGTTTTCTTTTAAGTACTTTAAGTAATTCTTTTAAAATCTAATAAGTGAAACTATAAACATGCTGATTAAGTATGCTCAAGTGTTCCAAACTGTCTATAAACTAGTAAGATTTTTTTTTTAAGATTTTATTTATTTGTCAGAGAGAGAGAGCGCACAAGCTGGGGGGAGCGGCAGGCAGAGGGAGAAGCAGGCTCCGCACTGAGCAAGGAGCCCGATGCGGGACTTGATCCCAGAACCCTGGGATCATGACCCAAGCTGAAGGCAGACCCTTAAGTAACTGAGCCACCTAGGTGTCCCTAAACTAGTAAGATTTTTATTTAAGATCACAAATGCAAATTATTCACTCAGTTCACATATTTTAAAATTGGAATTGTAAGTCCAAATGTTTCTATTAGGCCACATATTCTCAACTATTACA